AAAACTTACAGCCGAGCGACTTTGCTGAACATCAGGACAGTGAATGGCGCTGGAATTGTGGCGCTCGGTTGCGATGTGGACATACTACACCAACATGGAGTCCGATCGGAGACTACACTGGCAGTTACCCGAGAGAGAAGGAAGCGCCAACGGTACAAACGTAAACAAAGGAGGAGGAAGAGAGCCGGATCCATGTTAGGCTAAAGGCTAACTTCTCCAGACCAGCAGGACTGTCCTCCTACTCTCCAATATCTGCTCCCTCCACAATAAGCTTGATAATCTGCGTTTGCTGAGAGAAACCCGCAGAGAGTGGAGGGACTGCTGTGTGTTTGATTTAACAGAAACTTGACTCCATGACAGCATCCCACACAGACATACCTGAGGTTTGTCTAAACAATGTTACAGGGGCGCTGCGCCCTCATACTCCTGGCTTGCGCCCTCTTACCAAAATGCCGATTGAACCCTGTGTTCACACCAGACACGAGCAAAATCATTCGCGTGAATGATTTACATGTAAAGTCAATATGAAGACACGATTAGGTGTGAGTAAACGTCCCGCGGTGCGATTGACGAATTGAGTGAGTTCAATTGATTGAGCGATTCTAGCCACCCACACACACACACACACACACGCCCCAGTCACTTAGTTCCCTTGACACGGTGTGCGCCCTCATCCGATTTTTTTCTAGAAAAACCCCTGCACACAGCTGGAGGGGACAACATTCAGGGTCCTCGCCAGGATTTTTTGACAGCGTGTCAAACCAGGGGTGTGTTAGCAAATATTGCCAACGGTTAGCGGCGAATGCGCTAGCAAATAGCAGCGGTAGCAGCGAAGACGATGGTAGAGAAACTGATGAAGACAAAAATAAAGGAAAGACCATATGCATTTAATATGTAATGTTATGTATTTTAAATTTATGTTTTGGATAATATATATTTTCAAAATAATTTTAACTTTTAAAAATATTTGTGGCCGTTCTCCACATACCACTAAAGGGAGCGCACGTACCACAGTTTGAGAATCAAGGTTTTATTTGATTAAATAGTAGAGGGAATGTTTAATCATCTCTTCTGACTAGCTGCCAACCCGTCTTTCCCACCAGCAGTTCATATATAACTAGGGGTGGGTGATATGGCAAAAATATCATATCACGATTTTTTTTATTATGAAATCACGATTTTGATTTTATCGCGATCTTGCATGTATTTTTGAGACTAAGTGTGACTGGACCACAGATCACTTGATGTTGCAAAAATATGGACGTTCTGAACTTTGCGTTCAATCTTTTCTCGGCATTCAAAGTAGAGACGTGGAATAGCAGTGTTGGAGAAGAACAATCCATACGATCTCCTCACTTTGGCAGATCGTCTACATGTTCTAATCCTTCACGATCTAATATCGTCATATCGCACACCCCTATACTTACATGAACATTAATAGCTGTTACTCTTGAGTTACATTGATGATTTGAACTGGATTGTAGCTTTATGGCTCCAGATGATTTTGCTGTCAGCAACCTGTTTGACCAACAGGTTTCTTCTTCTTTTGATGTCCACAAGACTTGTGTTGGAGACCTGAATGAGTTTTAACTATTTCCATGTTGTTGTTATTGTTGTTGTTTTTTTTAAATATATATTTTGAATAAAAATGCCATGTCCAAAATTAGTTAGCAAGTCTTAATTGAGTATTCTCAAACACAATTGGTTAATGTCTTTAGTTTATGTCATTTCAATTTTTTCAGCATACAATTCATACAAATGACATGGCATTGTTTGTAATTTGTAATGTAACCCATTGAATTATAAAGAATGTAATGTAGATACAGTTTTCAGAATTACATTGAAAATATTGAACCTTATGCTCCAAGAAATTGATGCTGCGACAAAATTTTAAGTTCTCACAAATATTCTGTTTTTACTTAAAACCCTTTGCATGGAGAAAGAATGCCAAAACGACACGATTTATCAGAGCCAGAAACTAAAAATAGAAAGAATCATTGGAATCTTGACTCTCTAATAGTTCTTGAACATGTATTGTCTGGTGTGCAGCTCTGTTTGAAAAATCAATTAAATCTAAGCCTAAACTGTGATACTTCATTAAAACAACTTTATTCTGCATCTCATTTAAGGTTTGTCAAAAAATAAAGTGTTTGCATTAACCAGATTCCACAGTGAACTAAATATTCTGTGCTCCGTGTTGCAATGGTGAAGCCGTCAGTGACTCAGCTGTCATTGACAAAATGTTATGACTATTCAGCTGAACTGCAGGCAGTGTTTACAAAGTGCAGAAAGGAAAGAAGCATTATCAATTAAAAATATAAGTAGTGAAATATCTATAGTATGTACAGTTATCATTTTTATCCAGTATTGGTAAGACCTGTAAACACTTAGAATTATGTTTTACATGTTTATCCCAGGTTTTGTTTGTAAAAATGCATCAAAGGAATTAAACTTTTAATTAAATTTAATGAATTAATTAAACTCTGATTTCTAACCAAGTCATACTGCACAAAAGGCATTTCTCTCTACTTCTTGCCATTGTTTCAAAATGTAAAGATATTCAGAAGATTTATAATTTTTGCTAAAAACAATATTTTGATTGTCAGAGTAGGTTTCTGTCAATCCAATAAACCATACAGACAAAGGCGAGGTGACGTTGCAGCATTAGAATGTAGACACAATGAGATTGTCTTAATTACAGACTTCCAAAAATGGTCATAACATGCTGTAGGGCCACAACACATGAAAAACAGATAGATTTGATTCATATAATAACACCCTCTGTGTTTATCTGACACTTTCCCTCCTTTATTACCAGATGTTTTCTTTATCTCCATCACATTCCTCATCCCTGCTCCAGCGCCGCTCGCCTCCCACCTCCCGCTAATGATTTTCTTTATCTGACGGTTACCAACTGACATGCAAATTTCCCAACATCAGAGCCTTGAACATCCCCTCCCCCCTGTTTCTTCTCTCTGGTTTCCTTTTTGCACTTTACAGATTTGGGTCAGACACCCCACATCTTGTATAAAAAGATGGAGAGGAGGGGTGTTGTTGCTCATATCACGTGGCCACGATACCTGAATTCCCTCCTATCAAAAGGCATCATTAGCCTCCAGACAGCACTTTGTGACTTCCATCACAGCTGAGCAGTGAAACCACACAAAAGGGGGGTATAAGATGTCTGGCTTCATAACATGTTGAAACTGAACACAGGCAGCACAGAGTGTACCTGCGGAGGAATGATTGAGACTCTCTCTTCTCTCTCTCAGTCTCTTTGCCTCTTTTGACCTCAGATTCTTGACATTTCTTCTTCTTCTTTCCTCTTCATCCCACTCCTCGCCTGTGTGTTCTTTTTTTTTTTTGTCCTTTTCCTTCCTACCTCTCAGCTACTGCAATCACACTGACAGCCAAAACACCAGAGGCGTTCAATCAACCCTCAACTGGCCCTCTGCTCCTGCAGCTTCTGGCTGCGTTATTTTGCGAGGACCAAATTCATTTTCGTGTGCAGATGAAGCCGATAAGGGAGAAAGTGTTCAGTGTTTCCCAAAGCCCAAGATGACAAATATCTTGTTTTGTCCACAACCCAAAGATATTCAGTTTACTGTCATAGAGGAGGAAAGAAACCAGAAAGTATTCACATTTCAATCACAGAATTAAGACTTTTTTCTTAAAAAAATAAGCAAAACAATTAATTGATTAATTATCAAAATCGGATTTTGACTGAATAGTTAACAACTGATAAATGAATTAATTAATTGATTAATCATTGCAGCTCTAACATTCATTACATAGAATTGACTGGTGCTTTGTTGCTTGTTGCTTTTAGTACTATACACAACAAAATATATGTAATGTAGTTTATATATATATATATATATAATGATAAATATAATTATAATATATATTTTTTTGGTTTTTTATTTTTTTTTTTTTTTTTTTTTTTTTTTTTTTTTAATTATTTATATTTAAAAAATAAATACCCCCCCCAAAAAAAATAAAATAAAATAAAATAAATAAAAAAGATTATATATATGCCACTAGCAGGTTTCTCCTGGCTTAGACTGTGCACGAGAATAAGAGTGATCAGTTCATAAAGACAGTGAGTCTGCTTTACCTTATTGGACATTTTCTTGTAATTCCTGGCCATTAGATTTAAAAAAAAATGTGTATTATGCTTAAGTACATGAATCCCCAATGAATAAAACTGATTAGAAATATATTAACTTTTTTTTTTTTGAGCTGAGGATTTTCCTTTGGTTCCGGTTAAATCATCTTTGGAGGTGCCAAAAAATTCTCTTTATGCATGAAAAACCCTGCAAAGTGACATTTTCAGATGCCTTGTCTTTTCAGATGCTTTGAGCAAGCCAAAGATATTCGGTTTATTGTCATATGTGACAAAGATGAGCGTTAAATCCTCACATTTTTGAAATTATGACCAATAAATATTTGACATTTTGGCTTTAAAAAAAATATGCTTGTTCACTTATCAGAATAAATACTTGACTACTCATTGCAGGTCTGATCATTTTTTGTGTCTGTCATAAGTTTTTGTTTGATAAAAATAAAGGAGGACATCTTAAATGAAAAAAAAATTGGCCAGAAAATGTAAAGATGATTCCTCTCGGCAGCAAACAAGTGTGTCTGTGTGTGTGTTATAGAGTGACTGACTGTACGTCGGTGTGCTGAGGGAAGAGTGTGCCTCTTCACATCTCTGTTCTCTTAAATTCCTTTTGAAATCAGCAAACTAAATTTAGCTCACAGCACCCTCCCCCTCCTCTGAGAGGTATCAGAGCTACAGCAGTCAGCGATAGGCTAACGTTTTGATGCGCACAGTCCACACACATGCACACAGATTAAAGTGAGTGGCTCAGAGTGGGAGGGCGCTCTGTCTTTGTGCACACAATGTGGGCTGTAGTGATGATAAATTGTTGCTGTGCAGCGAATGAGATGTGAGTATGTGTCTTTTTATATATATATATGTGTGTGTGTCTTTCTAGCTCGTAGGGCTGCCACTTAAGGACAGTGGGGGCTCTCTAATGATCCCCCGTTCATCCAATGAACCCCCTCAACTCCATGAAACCCTCCCTGCCTCCCACTCCACAGAGGTACCTACACACAGACACACACACACACACACACACACACACAGACTGTGGTGACATTAACCTCAGTTTCCTCAGGTGAACCATTTCACCTGCTCTGCCCAACAAAAATTACTCTGCAGCTGTTTAAATGGAATGATTCTTTATCATTTTTAAGCAAAAGTGCCAAATATTTGATGAGGCATTACATTAAATTGACTCACTTTGGATTTTAGATTTGGCTCTTAAGAGGGTAATTCTATTAAAATTCCATCAGTGCCTCCCATCTGATCCCCTCAGAATTTAATGATTATTTTTGCAATAGCTTTGGTATATTTAATAAAGCCTTTTATTTTAATTTGTTAAAGTTCTACCTTCATGCTATAAATATTATGAATATTATAGGCCCTTGAAGTATAAAGAGGTGGTTCAAAATTTACTTTTTCCAGCATTTCTGAGCCCTCATAACTTTATAAATACAGGAGACAGACACATTAAATTTTGAGGGATGAAAAACGCATTTGAACTCTGGTAAAAACTACAACCAAATCAAGTTTACATCCACTCCAGGTGTCACAGTCTAAAGCCAAAATCAGTTTTTTGTTCAGTGCATTTTTTTCTACACCAACTTTGAGCATCAATATCATAGGATACATCATAGTTTAATGGTGAACGGCACCAGTTATTGTCTATGACATAGAGTGACAGACATAAACATTGATGACCTAGATGTGTTCTCTGTTTCTGAAGTCAATGGAGAAAACTTTGAAATGTGCATTTTGGGTAAACTTTGAAGGATCATATCACTATGTGGACTTGGTGGTTGGTCCAAACAAGTTACAGCATCGGGAAGCTTTTACTTTTATCTACATTTTGATACCAGGCTCATCTTCTAGCTATGATGTCTTCTTTGTCAAAACTATTATCTATTATAAGAATATGTTAATGGTCACAAAATGTAATAGTACTATTTATTCTATTTACCCAAGGAGTTAAAATCACGATAATGCTGAGTGAACCTTCCGCCATGATTTTCTCTGTGTAAGAATATTTCTGTAATATTGGCATATTTTGAATACCATTGATATGCTAGTGGTTTTAACAGAGCTCAACAGTGTGTTTCAGTCTGGAGAATTTCATGTAGTTACGAAGTTATGAAGGCTCAAAAATCATGATAACGCTAAGTGAACCTTTGACCCACCCCACATACTTCGAAGGCCTGTAACTCACTACATAAAATCTCCTAAAGTTACTGTACATAAACAATCAACTGATTCTGAGGGGGTCAGCTGGGAACTTTTTTTTTTTTTAGATTTGATTGATTTTATATGGAATGACCCAATATGGATTTTTTTAATGTTAAAAAACAATTTGAACATTATTTAGTAATGAAAATAAGAAGTCTAACACGCACATGCACAATTCTTCATATATGTTTCAAGGTCTGGGTCGGGTTACTTTGAAATGGGGTCAGCTGCTGAATACAAATTACATTGCATTTTTGTAGTTAGTCATATAATCCTTTGGATTATAAAAAAAGGTTATATAATTGGGATACTTTTGGATTATTTTTGCATTACTTTATAAACAAACATTTTAGAAATATTGCACCTTCTGCTACACAAAATGGAGGTAACTACAAAATTTTGAGTTCTTACAAGTATTGTATTTTCTCTTTGTCTCTCGAAACCCCAAAAAGTACCAGCAAGTTTGAAAAGCATTTTATCGCAAAATTTACACAATTTATCAGAATCAGCTGTTAAAAACATAGTCATTCGATTTGCAACTTGAATTAAGTTAAACTAATTATGTGTGACGTAGACCTTTTTTAAAAACAAAACAAACTTTCTTTGTGTGACATTTCATTAAAATCACTTTATAGCCCGAGTCACATTTTAAATTTTCCCAAAACAAACTGCTTTCAACAGATCTATTAAAAATGACAACAACAACAATTCTGTGCTCTTTAGCACAACTGATTCTCCATGACCGACTCCGCTGTGACCACCAGTCAGAAATTCGAGGTGCAGGTGAACTGCAGGCTCTAGTAATTTAAACTCAACAAGTTATCATTATTTGGTAGTAACCCTGAGGACATATACGATGTCCAATCAGTATATTGTGGTTGCAGTGTTGCCTGACAAAATCGGCATACATGCTGGTTAACGACATCAGCTGTGATCACTGAGTAAGTTGGAGACAACAGAAAGTTGCTGCCGCAGATCCTCTGAATGCGACTGAACAGCTGGAGACACAGCTTTTGACTGTGACCAGTGTCAGTCCTTCAACCTCCACCCTCTCCTCCTGCTCTCTGCGCTCACCTGTGCTGTGCTTTTATATTGCCGTCTCGCACAACAGAATAACTATGAAGCAGTAATTTATGGCAACACTATAGGGGAACAAGTTATTCCAAGTAATATTTTTTTTAGGATCCGTTTAGAATATATAATTACTAACAGGCAGACTGCAGTCCTTTCTGCTCAAGCTGGATGAATGCTATTTTTCAATTTCTGCAATTTCAACTACACACACAGCTTCATCTTAGCTAGTGATGCTAGTTACTTGTTGTTCTCTATGAGCCCTGATGTAAATCCTATTGAACATCTGTGGAAGGAGCTGAAACATGGCGTCTGGAGAAGGCACCCTTCAAACCTGAGACAACTGGAGCAGTCTGCTCATGAGGAGTGGGCCAAAATACCTGCTGAGAGGTGCAGAAGTCTCATTGACCGTTAGAGAAATGGTTTGATTGCAGTGATTGCCTCAAAAGGTTGTGCAACAAAATATTAAGTTAAGGGTACCATCATTTTTGTCCAGGCCTGTTTCATGAATTTATTTTTTCAAATAATTCTGTTGAACCACGGTTCAAAAGCAATGTCTGATTTTCATTGCTTAATTTTCATAGAATTTTTATTTATTATTGCTCTTGTCAGATTCAAGTTATTTCTGTGACCATTGTGGGTTTTTCTTTCATTACCCGAGGGGTACCAACAATTTTGTCCACATGGTTATTTGTTACATATGTTGTGTTGTTACTGGCTTTATTCTTTTTTTTTTTCTAAAACACCACAATAATGACTTTCTTTGTCATATAGAAAATAGAGGGGCAATAAAAAAAAGTGTTGTAAATATGAAAGTAGTTCATAGTATACTTGGTTTTAACTTTAAATGCCCTAAAACAACAAAAATAAAAATAAAAATAAAATTCATATGAAGTTTCAGCTTTAGAGCAAGTACGATGCATCTTGAACTGGTGTTTTGTAACTCAAAAATGGCATGAATTTAAGAATTGAAGAAGGGCTGATGAATTCTTTCAGCTTTAGAATTTTGAGACAATAAGTGTCTGTGCTGTAGTGCATCCATCTTTTGTTTGTTTGACATGATACCTGAAAACTTGACTGATCCAGCAAACAAAAGAGAAAAACAGGTTTCCCTCAATTTCAAACCCTTGAAACTGTTAAAAGAATAAATGCTTGAGTGTTTTTTTTTCCAGCCCTTTTGGAAACACCTTTAATAGTTTCACTGAAGCTGAAACAGACTTTAATTGAGCCTTTTGACTGCACTGTTTCTCTGCACAGAGCAATAAAAGAAAAAGAAATGAGCTGCCAGCTCATTGACATGACAAGCAGAAACTGGAAAAATGTGGATGTTTGTAGAGAAACAAAACAACAAAACAGTGTTGACATAAAGTCAACTTAATTTTCTGATTGCTTGACAAACAAAAAGAAAGAAAAATGGACTGTAAATATGTAAACGGAAATGGTTTACGCAAAGGGAGGAGAATGTAGCCTCAACTGCCAGATGAATAAACCACGTTCAGGTTAATCGTTAGATCACTAGAGTAAATGATGCATTCATGACCTTTTACTCAGACGTCTCTCTGTTCTACTACAGAAACATTAGCTCTAATAAGGTGTTAAAGACTTAGGAAATCTTTAAACACCGTCTGTGATACTGTGACATTTACCAGTTATTGATATGTGCACAAATGCTCTCCCTGCCTCTCCTGAACCTCCCCAATCATCCCACTAACTTGACTTCATGTCCTCCTGCAGCAGTGACGGCCCCTTCCTAAATGAGCCAGTCTCCTGGCAACCAGGCACCAATCAGCACACAGGATCTCTCTCAGTAGTAACCACAGTGTGGGGTGTGACCAATCCCACACACAGCCAGGTAACACATGACTCCTCGCTGGATGCTGTTGTCCTGCTGTGTTGTTTTTTCAGTTACTGCACATGTATTTATATTTTATTTATAAATTTGGACTTGTTGTCTAAAAAACACATCTGTTTTGCTTTAAAACAACTGAGATGCATATTTTTCAAATAAATTGCCAAGTGACAGTAGAGCTGCCATAATTTATCAATTAGTTAAAACTATTAAAATAACCGCTTACTATTTTGACAATTAATGAGTGATTTTTAAATTGTAAAAAAATATCTGATTGTAGCTTTTTAAATGTGACTATTTTCTGGTTTATTACCTCCTCTATGGCAGTAAATTGAATATGACATCTTAGGCTTTGGAAACACTG